GAATATAATACAGGGTACTAATAGGAATAAAATATTATTCAGATGTTAGATTTAAACCCAAACATGTCAACAAGCTACATATTCAATATAAAGTTTATCAAACTTCATTAAAAACCCAATTTATGTTATTTACAAAAGATATATTAAAACATAAAGAAAGAATGAAAGTAGAATCCTATTTAAAAAAAAAAAAAAAAAAAAAACCCATGCATTCAGTAACCAAAAGAAAGATGTTATATTTGTATCAGAGTTTAAGGCAAAACACATTACTAGAAACAAAGAATGATACTACATAATAAGATAATTCATCAAAAGATAATTTTAGATGTGTTTGCATTCAACAAAGTTGTTCCAAAAATATATAAAGAAACACATAAATAAAAATTTTATAGACCTACAAGGAGAAATAGACAAACTACAGTCATGATGAAATTGATTTTTATCACACTTCTCTCAGTAACTCTTATAACAAGCAGATAAAAGTAAGGATAGAGACATGAATTGGTCTAATGAACACATATGTAGAACACTGTATCTAATGAGGGGAGACTCAAATAAATTGTTCAGATTCTATGTGATAAAGCAAGTCTCTACATATTTTAAAAGAATGAAATAATACAGAATATGTTCTCTGACCATGATACAACTAAGAAATCACTAACAAAAGGATTTTTTTTTTAAAAATCATGTTTGGAAATAAAGTGCTATCCTTTTATATAACACATGGGTCAAAAAATGTAAGTTAGAAAATAACTTTAAAGAATAATGAAAATATGACATATATCAAAGCTTTCAAGAAGCACAAGGGGAACTTTATCATTTTAACTGTATATAAAGTTTTATAAAAAACAAAAGAGAGGCATTAAACACTGATGAGTTAAGAGTCTATCCAAGAAGATAGAAAAATAACAGTAAACTCAAAGAAAGTAGAAGGAAGGAAATAATAAAGTTAGAACATAAATTAATAAAATAAAGCATTAGATTCATCAGCTTCCTTGGTGAAACTGTTCAAGAAAAACAAAACAACCAACCAATGTTAGGGATGAAAAAGAAGACATTACTACAGGTCCTACAGACCTAAAAATAATCATTGAAAAATGTTTTAAACAACTTTATAAAACTATTTAAAATATAAATAAAATGGATATATTCCTTGAAAAATACTACAAGGTTGATAGAAAATTTGAATAATCCTTCAAAACTATTTAAAAAATTAAATATATAATTTAGAATGTTACAATAAAGAAAACTCCAGGCCCAGATGGCTTTTAACAAACATTCAAGGAAGAAATGGTAAACTTACGCAAACCCTTTAAGAGTAGAAGAAAATCAGCTACCATTTGCCAACTCGTATTAAGAGGCCAGAATAATGGTAATATAAAAATGGACAGGAAATTCCAAGAAAAAAAAATTTCAGGCTAGTCTCACTCACGAATTTAGATGCAAATATCCTGAAAATAAGATTCTCAGATTTACTCACTAACACTGAAATGACATGTGGGTGACCAACTCAGTCTCAACTGGACAGCCAGAGCCACACTTTACCCAATCCTTTTTTCCTGAACTTCAGAAGAGTGTCTATACTCAGTTTTTGATAGCTTTGTTAATAAACAGATATTAGCAAACCACATCTAGTAATATATAAAAAAGAATCCATGTTGGACACATTCCAGAATGTAAGCTTAGGTTAAAATTTGAAAATCAGTGCAATTCATCACATTAACAGAGTGAAGGGAAGCATAAGTATTTCAATTGATTTCAATAGATGATGTTGATAAAATTTAAATCAAATGTATGCTAAAAACTCTTAGCAAACTAGGACTAGAAAGGAATTTTGTGAATCTGAAAAAAGATACCCGCAAAAGGACCTTCAGCAAATGTCAAACTTAATGGTGAAACACTGAAAGCTTTCCCCCTTCACTGGGACGAAGACAAGGTGTATGAGCCTCCTAGGACTGCTGTAACAAAGTACCACAAACTGGGTCACTTCAAACAAGAGAAATGCATTGTCTCACAGTTCTGGAAGCAACCAGCTGAGATCAAGGTGTTGGCAAGGCCAAGCTCTCTTTCAAGGCTCTAGGGGTGAATCCTTCCTTGCCTCTTCCTAGCTTCTGGGGGTTGCCAGCAATCTTTGGCGTCCCTTGTCTTGTAGATACAGCACTCCAGTCTCCACTTCCATCCCCACATGGTATTCTCTGTGCGTTTGTATCTCTTCTCTTTTCATGAAGACACAAGTCATATTAGAGTAGGGCAAACCCTACTCCAGTATGAATCTCGTCTTAGCTTGAATACATCTGCAAAGGCAGTCCAAATAAGGTCACATTCACAGAGACTGGGGTTTAGGACTTCAATATACCTTTTTGGTGGATAATTCAGTCTACAATACCAGGACTCCCACTGTTGCCACGTCCTTTTGAACTGCAGGTCCTAGCCAGTGTAATAAGGCCAAAAAGTAAATGCAAAATACAAAGATTAGAAAAGAAGAAATAAAACTGTCACTATTCATAGATGACATAATTGCCTATGGAGAAAATCCCAAACAACTCACAGATAAATTATTAGAATTAATATTTTTAAAAGATTGGTATAGACAAGGTTAATATATAAAATAAATTTTACTACAATATATAACAATAGCATAAAAAACCAAACACTTAGAAATCAAACTAATAAAATACATGTAAGACCACTGGGCAGAAAGCTATAAAACCTTACTAAGAGAAACTAAAGAAGGCCTAAATATGCTATGTTCATGAATTAGAAGGCTCAATATTGTGAATTTGCAAAGTCTTAAATGGTCTACAGATGCAATGCAATCCCCATCCAAATCTCAGTGTGTGGAAACTGACATGCTGATTCTCAAGTTATACGGACACGGAAACGGTCATTAACAGCCAAGAATTTGTTGAACAAAGCTAAGAGGGCATGTACTACTGAATATGAAGAGCTATTATAAAGCTATTTTAATGAAGACAATGTAGTATTGGCACAAAGACAGACAAATAGGCCAAAGGGGCAGATACAAACACATCTATGCCTACATGGGCACTTCCTCTATAACAGAAGAACACTATAGAGTGGTGAGTTAAAGGTGAGGCTTTTCAATAAACTGTACTGAAGTAAATGAATATTCGTAAGAAAAAAATAAATTTGCTCTCTACCTTGTATTAGCCACCAAAATAGTTATATGCAAAAATATAGATGAATTTCACAAACAAAAATTTAAGCAAAAGAAATACATACTGTAATACTCTAGTTTCAAATAAAACAAAATTAAACTTTAGTGCAAGAAAAGTGAAGATTGCAGTTAATTTGGGGAGAAAAGAGTGTTATTAACTGGCACTTTTTAAGAGAATAAGAGGAGTTTCTAGGGAGCTGGGAAAGATTTCATTTCTTTGCCTAGAGGGTGAGATGGTGGTGGTATAAGTAGCTGGACACATTCATTCATTCAACAAATAGTTATTGAGAAATCACTATATATCAGGTATTGCACTGGGTCTGGGGTCATCAAAGGGAATAAATATAGGCATGATCCCTGCTCTGACTGTGTTTACCTCTGATAGCAGACAGACGAAAACAATTAATGAACACAGATAAATATATACAATCACCTCATAGGGTACATGCTCTGAGAGATACCCTTGTCTTGCTACACAAGGGGGACTCTTTATTGGGGGTGGGGATGAAGAGGAAAGCCATTAGGTCCTTCACTAAACTGAATCATAAAAATAGTTCAGAATTGCATTACTCCTTTTCTCCATCCCTAAAAAGTAGTGGTTATTCCTTTTATGTCTAATGGTTCCAATGTCATTTTAGATCACTTAGTTACACCTAGAAATCCCATCTGTTAATCTGAGGAAAATCTTGGCTCGAAAGTAATGGCACCAGCCCCCTTAAAATGGCACCCATGTGCGAATGCCACTATTTTTTAGTTAATTTTAGGACTGTTATTCTAAAATCAAAAAGTTCTTCTGAAATTCTAATTTAAAAAGCAATGAGTTTTAAAATAACTCTATGTTATAAAATACTTATATGTTCATTGTAGAACATTTGGGAAATCAGAAAACTGCAAAAAATATCCTCAAAAATCCATAATTATACCAATAGCTATCAATTCTATCTATAGCTACTGTTGGGGTACATCTCTTTCAATATTTAAATGCCTTGATATATTTATTTTCACAGTTGAGATCAGAATTTCTATGTAGTTTTGCAACCCAAGTTTTCCATTTAAAAATATAAGAACTTATTTCCCCAGTCATTAAATAATCTTCCTAAACATAATCCTTAAGTCTGTAAAAATTCCATCCTACAGATATACCTAAAAATCAGTTTATTTGTTTCCCGGAGAAAGAATCCTACATGACCTTGGTTCTGGGCCGGTGTAAGTGCTGCCTTGTAAACAGTGAAAGATCACAGAATCAGCCTCCAAATAAAGTACTTAAAGCCAATGTACAAGTTTTTCCAAGGCAAAGGGGGACTGTGAATCCAGCAATTGCCAATGTCCCCCAGACGTGAACCATCTCAACGAGAGGCCATTCTTTTAGTGCAAAGGGCTCCAAAAGCGGTGCCAAAGTTCTGCGAAGCGCCCGAAGCCCAGCAAAAGGTTCCGCTGGGCCTTTGGAAGTCGGCGGCCGCGGCAGAGGCTGCTCCCACGGCGGCAGCAGTCAAACCACGACCGGGCGCAGAGTTCCCAGGCCCGCGGAGCGCTAGTTGCCGGGCGGACGCGGAGGCCCGAGAGTCGCAGTCTTCCCGTCCAGGCTCAATGCGCGCCTACACGGTAAATTCCAGGAGGCGCTCCCAGCCGAGTCCGCTGCGCCTGGCGTCGCGCCTGGGCAACTTGGCTCCCCCAGGGAATCCTTAGGCGCGGCGGCCAAGCCAGGGCTGCGCCCTCTGGGCGCGCCCCTCCGAGTCCCAAGTTTGTGTCGTGAGGCTGAACTTGGGAGGAACGTGCCCCGGGTCCCCGCCCTTCCCCGACTGCCCCATCCCCATCCCCCGCAACCGGGAGCGCGCAGGCGCAGCGGTCCCGGAGTCCCGCCAGCGGTCCCGGAACCAGCGGTCACGCCCGTGCGGGTGGCGCCGCTGCCACCGCTCACCATGGCCCCGGGTCCTCGGCTGCTGCTATCGCTCGTGCTTTGCGTCGGGCTCGGCGCTCTCGTGTCTTCTTCGGGGGCCGGGGGCTTCCGCAAGCGAGGCCCCTCGGTGACGGCCAAGGTGAGCGAGAGCGGCGGGCAGCAACTTCCCCCGTGGTGGGCGGGGGTCTGGGGGCGCTTTGGACACTGGGACTCGGTGTCAGGGCAGGCCAGGAGGAGGCGTCCCGGGCGCAGCGGGACGGGAGGCGGCTGCGGGGCTGGGTGGGAGGGGGCTGCGGGCGCGCGGGGTGGCGGCGCTCCCGGGGAGACCTTGGGGGCTCTGGGCTGAGGCCAGCTGGACCCCGCCGCCGGCTGCCTGGGCTTCTTGTCCCGGTTCGAGGGTCCGAGGGGAGCAGCCTGGGGGTAGGAGACGCTTCCGGAACCGGCAGGCCGGTTCTCCAGGAAGGAGACTGCCCAAGTACTTCCTTCGGCGTGGCCTGGGCTCGGGAGCGGAGTGAGAGGAAAGCGGGAAGGGTGGGGGACGGTACCCGCGCGGGAGAGGCGCTCGGAGCCCAGGGCTTGCAGCCGCCCGCCCCACTGTCCTCGGGCGGGGAAGAGCCGAGCTCCACGCCGGCCGCGGGGTTTCGGGCAGGCGTCAAAGCGCCTCGCTCAAATGAGAGGTTGTCCCCCGCCTGTTTTGGGGAACCGCCGTCCTCCCCCGGGAAGGGGAGGTGCGCCTTCAACTTCGGCGGGCGGGCGGCGCCGGCTGTGGGCTGTGCTAGGCCCGGCAAACGCGGCACCTGTGCACCTGGGGCGGCCTCCACGGCGGGGGACGCGGGCCGGCGGGGGGCTGCCGGAAAGTGCGTCTCCAGGGCTTCCTCGTACTTAACTTACTTCAGTTCTTTTTTCAGCATATTTAACCAAGGGTAGAAGATAGTGGGAGAGGGAGGGGATAACTTGGTGCCCATGATCACCACTTCTAGAAAACCCGCCGGCAATAGTGTCTTGGAAACTGAAGCCGGAGGGGGCGGGGTGCAGCTGAAAGTAGTCCTAATCAGTCCGGGGTTTGTCGGTGGAAAAGACTAATCAACTAGGAGAATGCTTACATCCTCTACCGCAGACGCCACCTGAGGCCGGGGAGGACCGGGGTGGGAAGGAGGAGGTCCAGCTCAGCATTTGATGTCGCATAAAAGGCCATGCCACGCTGTGGGCGGGGTTGATAAACAGCCTGATGGTTTTGAGAAGCTCTGATCTTACTCCCAGCCTCTTGATACTGTAGGCATATCTAATTTTGGGAAATGGTTTGTGCAAGGCCACAGAGCCGAACGGGGTCTCTTGGGATAAACCCATAAACATAAAATTCTCACAGTTATGAAATGTTGGAGGAAATAAACTTTAATATAGATTATGTGACATTTAAAAATACCTGAAAAATAAGAAAAACCAGCGCAGGGATGACTTAGGAGGTAAAGGGAACTGCATGTGCAAAAGTCCTCAAACAGGAGAGCCCTCCCTGCCTTCAGAGCCTGTGGAGAGGACAGCGGTGTGCCTTCAGCACAGGGTGACAGGTGACTTGAGAGGAGGTTGGAGGGGTGAGCAGCAGCGGGATCACACAGAGCCTTAGAGGCTGCAGGTAGGCGTGCTGGTATTGAGGCAATTATTCTTAAAATTTTAAGTCTTATTCTGCAGTCAGAGCCACTGAAGGGTTTTAAGCCTGAGAATGGCATAATCTCAATATATGGTCTTGAGAAATTTCTGTAGTCACTCAGTGGAGAGTGAACTGGGAGGTCATTCAGGGCACCATGCCAGAGTCTAGATGGTGGCTTGGATTGGGGTGGTAATCGTTGAAATGAGGAGCAAGGGAAGGACTTGGAATAGATTTTGGAGGTGTAACTAACAAGTTGCTGACGGTTTACAAAGTGGGTGAAGGAAAAGGAATAGGATTGCTAAATAAAATACAGAATGCCCAGTTAGATGTGAATTTCAGATTAACAACGAATAAATTTTTTTAGTGTAAGTATGTCCCCTGTAATATTTGGGAACACGTTTCACTTGGGAAACTTTTTAAACCTACTGATGCAGAGACCCACCCCAGAACAAGTCAATCACAATCTGTATGGAGGGGGCTGAGTATCCTATCTTTTAGAAGCTTTCAGATGATTCTGGTGTGCAGCCAGCGTGGACTGGGAACCACTGGAAGACAGAGCCAAGAGAAGAGGAAGCTGGTGGCTGCAGGAAGGGAAGAGTTTGAGTATCCTAACCCCTTGTGTGACACTGTCACTGAGGGGAGTTAGCATGTACCCTACTCTCAGAATTGTTGCTTAACATGTCTTTTTTTCCCCCAACCAAATTTATCATTAAGTTCTAAAAGCTAATTGTGTAGGCGCATCTTAAACAGATTCTGCCGTTAAATTACTTTTTCATGAACTTTTAAAGACAAGTAAATCTATTGGAAAATGATGCTACAAATAATTTCTCTGAGTGCAGACAAGTACATTAACTGGCCCTTGCTCTAGTATAATGTTTTCTCCAGCAGTGTTTTCGTTTACCTCTGATTTCATTTAAAAGTGGGAATCTGTAAATAAGCGAGGTGTGAGGTACTATTGTAGCCACATGGCCCATTAGTGGCACTGACTTCATCCATAGATCCTGCTCCTGTGCCAGCCTGGCAGCTTCCTGCCCCAGCCATAGAGGCTCAGGTGGGGGCTCTGGCTCATTGGGCACCATATCCACAGAATTATGTTTGCTGACCTATATTTTTGAACCAATGCCATCGGATCTGTGCAGGATCCGGCATCGGGAGTGTAGGTACTGGGAGTGTAATGCCACCATCCTTCCAGCTGCACACATATTACAGCTTGCAGGCACATTAGCATGTAGTGGACAGGAGGCTGTGGCTAGATGGCCTTGGACAAGTGATCAAATGTCTGTGGCTCCATTTCCTCCTCTGTCAAATGGAGACAGAAATATCTAGGAGGGCTTTGCATATTAGATGTGGTAAAGCAGATGTCTTAATCCATTTGTGTTGCTATAAGGGAATACTTGAGGCTGGGTCATTTATGAAGAAAAAAGGTTTATTTAGCTCATGGTTCTGCTGGCTGGAAGGTTCAAGATTGGGCATCTGGTGACAGCCTCAGGGTGCTTCCACTCATGGTGGAAGGTGACAGGAAGTAGGCTTGTGGGTGAGAGGGGGCTGACGGGGGTGATGTCAGCTTCCTTTAAAAACCAGCTCTTATGGGAACTAACAGAGTGTGAACTCACTCACTGCTGAGACGGCAGCAGACCATTCATGAGGGATCTACCCTCATGATCCACACACCTCGCATTAGGCCCCACCTCCAACATTGGGATCAAATATTCAAACCATAGCAGCAGGTAAAGCACATAGTCCATAGTCCCTGATTTCAGAAGTCACTTGTTAGTGTTATTTGTGTTTATCTTCTTAATCCTACTGTGACAGTGCAGACCTGAAAGGAATCATCATTTATTTTACAGATGAAGAGAGGGAGTTCAGAGTTTAATTTGCTGAGGCTTCCATGGCCGTTGAGTGGTGGAGCTGCATTTGAGAACAGTTTCTTTGACATCACAGCTCATGTACTGGGTGTGCTCCCAAGTTACTTTGGAAATGGAATTAGTATTAATTTCACAGGGGTTTGGGTCAGGCTGTGTGAATGCCTCCCCCCTCTCTACCTCCTCCCACCTCCAATGCCGCATAATTTTCAAATGACTTTCAAGGGCAGCCTTGAGGAAAAAAAACAAGTGACTGAGGTGCCCACCCCCAAGGTCTAGCATGGAATCCAAGTATCACCTTTTCCAGGAAGCCCACCCTGATCTCCACAGATAGTCCCCACCCCTTGCCATGACACTTTATCTGTACTTGTCTTATAAAATCTGACTTCTCATTATATTATAGCATTCATGTATATGTTTTCTGTTGGACTAAGCTCCTTGAGGGTAGGAGCTTTGTAGCCCCACCCCACCCCTGGCCCAGCACTGGGCCTTGTTTCCCAGAGGCACTCAGCAACATCAGAGATGAGATGAATCCAGTAGTGAGAGGGTTTAGAGTGAGAGAGTTTGCTGCCAGCTGCCTCGCCTCCTGCCTAGGAATGTGGGTGTCCAGGTCCTCCTTGAGTATCATTTGACATTGAACCATTTAACATTTCCTGACTGCCTCCTTTTGCTGACCTTTAGCTGGGGAACTAAAAACACTGTTTCTACCCCTTAGGTTTCCCTGGTTAGACTGGGAGAGCCCTATTAACGATAAACCAGTTTAGCTAGAGGCAGCCTTGAAATTCTGGCTCTCACACTTATCGTAGGGAAACCTTGGTAAATCACTTAACCTCTCTCATTTCCACTTTTCTCGTTTGTAAATTAGTGATAATAGTTCCTATCCCACCTTTCCCAGGTGTGGTGAGCATTAATTATATAAGATGATGTGGGTTACACACACTGAGACCAACACTAAGTCACGTTTATTTCCTTCCCTCTTCCTTCCTGCTCCTCCTCCAGTTTTTGCCCCTTTGTTTAAATGCCTTTCCTGGTTGGGCACTGTGGCTCATGCCTGTAATCCCAGCACTTTGGGAGGCCAAGGTGGGTGGATCACTTAGGAGTTCAAGACTAGCCTGGCCAATATGGCAAAAGCCCGTCTCTACTAAAACTACAAAAGTTAGCCGGGCATGGTGGTGCACACCTGTGATCCCAGCTACTCATGAGGCTTAGGCGGGACAGCCGGTTAAACCCAAAAGGCAGAGGTTGCAGTGAGCCAAGATTGTGCCATTGCACTCCAGCCTGGGTGACAGAGCGAGATTCTGTCTCAGTAAATAAATAAGTGCCTTTCCCATCTCCCTTGTGCATTCCCTCCGCTACTACCCAGTGCAGGCCATTATGACCTTATTCTTGAACTAGTGTGAGAGCCTCCAGATTCTCTTTCTCTCCGTTTAAGTAGCATTCCCAGAGCCTCACTTGGCCCGATTCTTTCTCTTCTCTCTGTTGTCTAACGAAACTCGTGCTTAGGCTGGCATCTCTCTTCTGCCTTCTGAAACTGGTCGGCAGCTTCTTTCCTGACCCCCACTCACCCTCACCCCTAGTCGTGGTCAAAAGGGCAGCTTTGCTTCTCTGCACACAGGCTACATTTCCTGCCTAGGTGCGATGGCTCCAGAAAGAAGTCTGCCAGGCAGGGCTCACCCCTATCCTTGTTGGGGAGGTGGCTCCCCTCCTCCCAGACCCGCCTCCCTTAAGCCTTCCTCCTCAGCCTCATCGTTCCTGGGCATACAGTGTTTTGGAGGCATTTGTCACACGCTGCCCTGTACTGTGTTATGGGCTTGCCTAGCCTATCTCTTTATTTTAAACTGCTTTAGGACAGGGACTCTCTTATACAGTTTGTGCCCTCACATTGCCTTTTACGTGGACCTTGCATACATACTTGTTGACGAACTAAGATTTGATTTTATCCTTTCCATTAGAGTTGGGAAAACCTGCTTTTTGTTCTTTTGCTCACTCATGAAGCTGAAGGATATTTCAATCTGGGGAAAAATCACAATGTATGTTAGGCTGTGTGTAAAAAAAATGTGATTTTTGCTGAAGAGTTATGCTGGGTGACAGGTACTTCTTCTTCATCTGCTCTTGCTGCTCTCCCAGATCGTACTCCCTTCCTTTCTAAACATTCACAGGCTTTGTTTTCTGTTCTTTATTTTAAAAATCTGAAAGGCCCTTCTAGTGTCTTATATGATGTTTATTTAAGGTTGCCTCTCTGACTGGCTTCCGGGTGCTCCTTTGTTATTGCTGGTTATTGAATTTACACCTTGGCTTGCAAATCCCTTTGGGGAAACAACTTCTCTTGTAAGCCAGCTCTGCACTGAGCAGGCCCACGCATGTGTTGAAGCAGCTTCCTATCCCAAGCTATGCTGAATTGTACTCCTTTAATGCACTGCCCATCTCAAGGGCAGGGCCTTTTATGCATTCTATAGCACTCCTCTATATAAATAATAATAAAAGTTCTGCTACTTTGGCCATGTAAAAATTGTAAAATGCCACATGGAACGCTAAATATCACATCACCCTGTGACTGACGTGCTGATGTATTGTTGTTGTCTTGAACTAAAGTTTGACAGTCCTTTACTTAGTGATTTTTCTAAACAGTAAGACATCTTTTTTCTTTGACAACCCTTCTTATATTTTTTAAAGCCATCTGTTGAATGTCTTTTTTACCCATTCAAACAGTAAATTGGTTTACATAATCTAAACTCACTAACAGAATGCCCTTCAACTCGGTGGCCTTTTCAAGCGTTCTGTTTCAGAATCATCTTAGCACAGTGATTTGTGAAGCAAAACGCATATAATTTTGTTTCATATGAGACAGTTAAAAAACAAGTCCAAGAGAACTTTTAAGGTTTTATCTGCAAAAATGGGACTCACACTCCCTTCTGACCATGTGTTTTCTTTTTTTCTGTTCTAAAATGTTGGGTTAGGGAAAGCCAACTTTACTTGGGTAACTTGTGAACAGGAGGACTAAATTCAGTGTCTGAGTTTACAAGGTGATGCCTTTGTCAGGACCCAAGCTTAATGTTTGTTGTCCTTTGGAAAGCTGGGGACCTGGTGCTTTACTGTGCTTGGACGTGAGTGGCAGGCCTTTGAAGGCCTGATGAAACATTGCTGTGTTTCATCATTTTCACCATCTCCTGGATGGCAGACATCTATTGAGAACTCATTGCAAATTTGAGACTGTTAGAAATTACAAAAAAATAAATTTGGATGGTTAGCCTGTTTCCTCACAAACTTTTTTTTTCTCCTGCCAAGATTAGAGAGCATTATTTCTAAGAGAGCAACATTTTCCACTCTAATCTTTATCCTTAAAGCTGGGAAATGGGAAGTAGCAGCAGTGTTTGTCTGGGGTATGGGAAAAGAAGAATTATTGAAGATGTCATTGCCCAACACTGACAGGGTTGAGCCAGCCTTTAAACTCAATACCTGGTACAGGGTTGAGCCAGTCTTTAAACTCAATACCTGGCCCATAGGTGGTGCTTAATAACGTTTGTTGAATGAATATTTGTGAGTGAAATGCACCCATGCAATAGTTTTAGAGTACCTTTAATTGATGTCATGCTCCTTTATAAAATACTGATGGGCAGGGCTTTTGTAGTGGATCAATTCTCAGATTTTAATTTTGACTTACTTTGTATTTGTGATTTTTTCCACCTTATAACCTTCCACTCTGCCTTTCAACTGCACACAGGTCTTCTTTGATGTGAGGATTGGAGACAAAGATGTTGGCAGAATTGTGATTGGCCTCTTTGGAAAAGTTGTGCCCAAGACAGTGGAAAATTTTGTTGCTCTAGCAACAGGAGAGGTATCTCTCAGTTTTATTTCCTTTCAACTGGATATTCTTTCTTTTAAGCCAAATATGAAGATGTCGTCTGGAAAATAAGTATTAAATTAGTATGTCGGATGAAACTTACCACATTTTACTTTATTTTCCAGTAAAATCTGTATTATTTGGGCACTCCATGCCCTCAGGCTTCTGGAAATTGGGATAAAATAATCATCAAGTAAAAATACAGTTTGCTCTCTTTTAATTTATTCACAGTAATACTTTGCTTACATAACATATTTATTTTTTGGTCAGCTAATGATATATTCCTCTCAGTAAACCATAGCTGGGGTGTAATCAAGTTCTATAGGTATTTTATTTAATTTTCTCAGTTTGTCCTTTCCAGATAAACACTGAGTTTATCTTTCAGTATGGCTTCTATTACTTGTTACTCAACTGAAATCATCTCTTTAGAAAGGATATGGATATAAAGGAAGCATGTTTCATCGTGTCATCAAGGATTTCATGATTCAAGGAGGCGACATCACTGCTGGAGATGGCACTGGTGGTAATGTCTTTGCATTTCTCTTTTCCCATTTACCGAATCAAAATCTAAGATGAAGCCAGTATATGAACCCAGTCTATTGAAATCCAGAGCTAAGGAACACAGTTATAAAGACGACTCTACCTCTTTAAGAAGGATGGAGTTTGGGGGACTCATCTAGCAGCGTCTTGGCAGGTATGAGGGAGGCGTCCTCATTTTAAGCAGGATTGTTTTGCTGTGTATTGTCTTTCCATAATTGAGATGTATTCATTTGGCAGGATATTTTGCAATTATGAAAATGCCGGACTACTAGTCAGTAACCATACAGAAAAATGTCTGCCGTAGGAAGGAAAAGGTGTGGAACTTGAAGCTGCGTTCCCCTGGGATGGCAGCCCACTGCAGAGGCTGGCGTGGCAGGAGGGTGACACTAGAGTTAGCAGCAGAGTCTCAGTGCACTTTCCTCCTTCTTTCAAGTCTTTCATCATATTGACGAAACAGTTGAAAACAAGTCCAAGAGAACTTTTAAGGTTTAACCTGCAAAAAAGTAATTCATACTTCCGGCTGTGTGTTTTCTTTTTTGTGTTCTAAAATGTTGCGTTAGAGAAAGCAAATTCTACTTGGGTAACTTGGGAACAGGACGACTGAATCTAGTGTTTGAGTTTACAGGGTAGTGGCTTTGTCAGGACCCAAGCTTACTATTTGCTGTCCTTTGGACAAAGGTGGGAACCAATAATTTTTTAAAGTTAAAGCAATACCTGAGTTGTCAAAATTGTAATGGAAACTAACTCTTAGTTGGAGTTCAATAAAGTATAAATAGTTAAACTTATAGAGTTGCAAATCTCCTTCAGTTTATTATTTCTCATGGAGGATTATAGCTATCCAGCTCCATGTACTGTTTTCCCTCAGAAGCAGAATGAATTCTTTTCTTGAACAAACACTATATAATTCCAAAAAATTTAAATTTACTTTAGATTTAAGATTTTTCATTCAGCAAATACTGGTTTGGATGGATATTTTTTGTCCATTTTAAAGCAACAGGCCATTTTCAAACACTATTTCTAATTTGATGTTTATTGCAATGGTTTGTTTATAAGAAAAAAAAATGGCTGCTGTTAAGTGTTTTGATTTGCCAGGCACTTTGGGAAGATTACTTTTAGTTCTTGCAAAAATGCTGTGGGGTATGGGGATGTAGACTGGAGGGAGGAAGGCATTCACGTTACCCCAGGCAATGGGATTTGCTGAGGATGCCGGTGGATCTCACTGGAAAACCCTGATGCGCTGGTACCCATGCCCTCAGTGCTGGCATCCCACCTTCCTGCCGTAGGAATCCTGCCCAGCTGGAATGGTGACAGAGCTTCACTCTGCCCTCTTTTTGCTAACTTTTTTTTTCTTACTACCTTCCCTGCCCAGTATGTGTCTTACATTAAAATTCTCTGAATTTTGGATAGACAATGTTTTGGGCCATTTAAATACAACCTAGGCCCCTCTGTAGGAGCCCTCTCTTATAAAGCCAATTCAAGTATCACTAACCAGCCAGTTATAAATTGCTTGCCTGTGATATCCACTTCTGGGCTTTTTTTTTTTTTTTTCCCCAGACGGAATCTCACACTGTCACCCAGGCTGGAATGCAATTACACAATCTTGGCTCACTACAACCTCCGCCTCCTGGGTTCATGCAGTTCTCCTACCTCAGCCTCCCAAGTAGAAGGGATTGCAGGTGCCTGCCACCTCGCCTGGCTAATTTTTGTATTTTTAGTAGAGATGGGGTTTCCCATGTTGGCCAGACTTGTTTCAAACTCCTGACCTCAGATGATCTGCCCACCTCAGCCTCCCAAAGTGCTGGGATTATAGGCCTGAGCCACCATGCCTGGCTACTTCTGGCCTTTCTAACTCAAATCAGAATTTTGAAGTTAGCAACTGATAGATAAGGGGGCCCTACAGAAGGGGAGATGGGCCTGGCAGACCCTTGAGGTGTCGGAGGATGGTCAGATCCTTCTCATGGTCTTGGAAAAAGGTCTTTCACTCTGTCTGCTGCTTTGCTAGAACTCCAGACCTCATGCCTTGCTTTGGTTCTCCTGTTCAAGGTTGACCACTGGGTCCTCCCAATTGCCATCATCCTCTGTGTCCTGATGGGTCCTGAAGTTGCTGTGACCAACAGCTTCCAGATCAGCTGCTATCGTTCTCAGTGCTGAGGCAAGAAAAAGCAACAGCTTTCGAGTCAGAAAGTCAGATGCTGAAATTCTGCTTTGCTATTTTCAAGTTTTGTAAACTCTGTATCCCATTGTAAAATAGGATGGAGAATGCCTGCTCCTCAGGGTTGTTATGAGAATTCACTGTGGGTGTATATTGAATAGTTGGTGCATCCTGGTTAGGTGCTAAGTAACAACCATTCCTGGATAAGTAACAGGACTGTCCTGAGCTTCGAGGTTCAGGAAACAGGTACAGAGCCACGAGGATAGCTTGTACACCTTTCCCTCTGGCTTTAGGATGTTATCCTGCCCTTCAGTTTCTTCTCATTTCAGAGTGAAATCATGGACCTGCTTGATCAAAGTTTGGCTCTCGGTTTGAGGTCAGACAGTATCCCGCCATCCTGTGCTTTCTTTGTTCATTTTAGGCCCTAGGGCCCTGTTTCCTTAAGGAGTTAATGATATTCCCTCCTTCCCCTCCCTCTGTTTGAACATGTTTTCCCCATCCCTACCTTCCTATCGAAAGACATCTGTTGACTCTCCTCCTTGTTTTGTCTCAGGCGTGAGCATCTATGGTGAGACGTTTCCAGATGAGAACTTCAAGCTGAAGCACTATGGCATTGGGTGGGTCAGCATGGCCAACGCTGGGCCTGACACCAACGGCTCTCAGTTCTTCATCACCTTGACCAAGCCCACCTGGTTGGATGGAAAACATGTGGTATTTGGAAAAGTCATTGATGGGATGGTAAATTGATACATGTTTTCCCTTTCAAAGCTTTATATTTTTAATGAGAGTACTTTCAGTGATTTATTTTGATCTTAAAATATGCTTGTTGGAGATCCATTATATAGCTGACTGGCCTCTTCAAAGGTGAATAAATTATATATGGTATGACATTTTAATTCGTAGGGTCATTGGTGCAGCAGCTAGGGACCTGACAAGGAGAAATTAAGTACTTAAGTTGATTTATTTTACTACTTGCTATAAATGTAAAGCCCTTTTTAATGGAACCAATATATACCAGGACCCCATATACACATACAATGGAATATTATTCAGTCTTCAAAAGTAAGGAAATTCTGAGAACATTATGTTAAGTGAAATAAACCAGTCATAGGAAGAAAAATACCATATGATTCCATTTATATGAAGTATCTAAAATGGTCACATTGATAGAAACAGAAAGTAGAATGGTAGTTGCCAGGGGCTGGAGATAGAGGTAAATGGGATGTTGTATTTAATAGGTATAGGGTTTCAGTTTTGCAAGATGAAAAGTTCTGGAGATTGGTTGCACAACAATGTAAACATACTCAACACCACTGTACTTGGAATTTATAAATGAGTAAGATGGCAAATTTTATGTTACGTGTTTCTTACCAGAATTAAAAATAAAATTGTTAAAAACAAAGCAAAGCAAAACAACTCCAGAATCCTATGTGGTTCAAGCTCAGACACCTAGGTCACATTCACAGAGACACAGTACAGCAACCAAAAATTACTGAAGAGAATTTGAATCTATACTGTTGGTTCTCAAAGAATGTCAAAGCAGTCCAATTCACAACCCATAGGAACACTACTTAAAATCCTTATTCTCTCTCTTTCTCAATATTTCTGCCTCACAGCTGACTGAAGTAGCTCTTTCAGCTCCTAAACGGGCTACCGTGAAATCTGCCTGACCCAGGCCTGGACTATCCTTGTCTCCATTGCCCTCTTCCATATTTTATTTTGTTTGTTTCCATGTGACTTGTTCTGCCTCCCTCATCCAAATGTAAATAAACCAATCTTGCTCACTGCAGTTCTTCCACAACTACCTGCTCTTCTGATTCTACCTAACAAGTTTGGGAACTGAGCTGGTAGCCTCAGCACTGTTTGGGAAACCCACCAAAAACCTACTTCCTTGCTCCGTAACCAGTTTTAACCTCCTTCAGTGTGAAATGCAGTTCTTTTGGGCTTGTAAAGCCTTCCAGGGTAGAGAAAGGTGCCTTCGCAGCACTGTGAGGACTTGGGGTTTTAGGCTCAACTTATAGGTTAATGGCTTGGGCCACCTTTAAAATGGACAAACGTAGAAGTAGGTCTACTTCTAGAACTGCCTTCTGGCCCATTTTATCATGTCCAGACCTATCATAGGATGGAGCTGAAACTGACTCAGATTCCATGTTAACTCTTACAGTGGCTTATAGCAGGTGAATGGAAATGCCTTTCATTAGAGCTGGGTGTTTACAAAAATCTTTTTTTTAGAATACAAAATGCTTATTTAAAAATAAGTGAGGAAATATACCAGTGTGGTCTCTGAGTAAGAAGGTCATGGATGAATTTTATTAGGTGATGTATATATTTTCTGAATGTTTTAAGTTTTCCACAGTTAGCAAGCATGGTTTTAGTAGTCAAAAAAAAAAAGAAAAAACCATTCCCACTTGGGCTTTTGGAGTTGGCTTTGGTTTAACCTTTGGATTGCTATAGCTGCTGGTCAGAATTAAATACATCTGCTTTTCTCTCACCAGACAGTGGTGCACTCCATAGAGCTCCAAGCAACTGATGGGCATGACCGTCCACTCACCAACTGCTCGATCGTCAACAGTGGCAAGATAGACGTGAAAACACCTTTTGTGGTTGAGGTTGCTGACTGGTGACACAATTGGCAGAAAACAGACACACTTTGGCAGGAGTGTGTGTGTTGTGTGTCTTTCAATTCTTTGGTTTGTTTGTTTGTTTTGCTTTCTTTTAATTTGCTACCCCAGATCATAGGAAAGTTATGAAAGTCAAACCCTCAGCCTTTAGTGTGCTTGAATTTTAGTAAACTACCTGCTTAGGGACTTTGAACTGAAATATATCCCCTTCCTCAAGTGGTGCTATTTTTAAACTGGAAAAACTTAGAATTGGCTATTTTTTTAATGCAATAATATTTTTTCTGAATTCATTATGATCACTGTGTTGGATAATGCTAAAGATTTGTCGGAAACAGATGAGGATATGTTTATCATTTTGTATCCAAGTAGAAATTCAGATAAGGGAAATTTGACTAGCGTAATCTGGGATATGCTATAGGGATTTCTTCCTGACAAAAAGGTGCTTTGGTGTTCTTTATATTAAATACTTTTTATATAGATCAACTCTTTTTGCAGTACTTTTTTAAAAAATTTAAAGTTCTTAAAAAAAAATAAATATACAAAAATACACTCTCTAGCATTAATAGTGAACAGATTAGAAAGATTTTATAAATCAAACTACAAACACAATTAGATAACTCAGAAATTACGTCCATCCACATCTCATACGCTTAAGCTGATTTTTCACTTATTGTTATTCAATGTAACGTTTTTAGAAAGTTATCTTGAGTTCAACTGCAATAGGAATATTTTTTATTACTTTCATAAGGGGATTAAGACTCAGGCTATAAAGCGTGGGTATGGTGGCTCATGTCTGTAATCCCAGCACTTTGGGAGGCTGAGACAGGAGAACTGCTTGAGCCCAGGAGTTTGAGACTAGCCTGGACAACATAGTGAGACCCTGTCTCTACAAAAAATAAAATTAGCTTGTTATGTTGGTGTACATCTGTAGTTCCACATACTCAGGAGGCTGAGGTGGGAGGATCAGTTGAGTCCAGGAGGTCAAGGCTGCAGTGAGCTGTGGTTGCACCAGGCAACAGAGTGAGACCCTGTCTCAAACAACAACAACAACAACAAATCACTCAGGCTATATTTACACTAGATGAGTCCAGATGTGGTGGCATATATCTGTAGTCCCAGCTACTGAAGAGGCTGAGGTGGGATGACTGCTTGCACCCAGGAATTTGGGGCTACAGTGAGCTATACTGATTGGGTATCAGTACTAAGTTCGGCATCAATATGGTGACCACCAGGTCGGGCACGGTGGCTCACGCCTATAATCCCAGCACTTTGGGAGGCCGAGGTGGGTGGATCACGAGGTCAAGAGATCAAGACCATCCTGGTCAACATGGTGAAACCCCGTCTCGACTAAAAATACAAAAAGTTAGCTGGGCATGGTGGTGTGCACCTGTAGTCCCAGCTACTTGGGAGGCTGAGGCAGAAGAATTGCTTGAACCCAGGAGGCAGAGGTTGCAGTGAGCTGAGATCACGCCACTGCACTCCAGCCTAGGTAACAAGTGCAAAACTCCATCTCAAAAAAAAAAAAAAATGTGACCACCAGGGAGCATGGGACTACCAGGTTGCCTAAGGAGGGGTGAACTGGTTCAGGTTGGAAACAAAGTGGGTCAAAACTTCTGTGCTGGTCTGTAGTGGGATCACACCTGTGAATTACCACTGCACTCCAACCTGGGCAATGTAGCAAGACTCTATCTTAAAAAAAAAAAAAAAAAAAAAAAACTAATGGGAAAGTGAAATTCTACTAGGTCCTTGTTATAACATACCTGGCTATAACAGAGTGTGCTTGATTTCTGTTCAGATGGGAGGTGTTGTCTATTAGAAAACAGTGCCATTGCTTCTCCTCCAGGACTCACGCAGTGAGGATCCAAAAGAATCTATCTCAAGTTGTTTTCTAAGAAAATAGCATCAATGAGAAATGAATTGAGTATTCCTACTGCTGATTCATAAATTGCTACAACACTCTTGGAGAGCAATTTGTTAATTTTTTTTCAACAAATATTTATTGAGTGTCTTTGATCTGCCGGGTGCCAGTTTGACTTTTGGGGATACAATAATGGACAGAAAAGGGCCTCATGGGGCTTACAGTCTAGTGGGGAAGACTGAGAATAAACAAGGAAACAAAAGGATGAATTCTGTGAAAAAAAAAATATGCCCATATCTGCTGGAGAGGCTGGGAAAGAAGCATTGTGGAAGTGGAAGGCCTCTTGGGCCTCTTGAGGGATGGCATTTGTGCCAAGTCCTGAAGGAAGGGTAGGAAGTGGTAAGAAGGGCCTTCCAGGAGGAAGGAAGAGAAAATATGAGGGTCCTAAGATAAGGATGAGTGAATTCCAGGGCAGAAGAGAAAGCCAGTGTGTTAGGGCCTGGTGGACAAAGGGAAGCGGAATTAGGGGCATGGTCAGAGGTAAGGCTGAGACTGGACCAGTTTGGGCCTGGATGCCAGGGTGAGATTTTGGTCATGGTACACAGGAAAGTTATTTGTTTGAAGTTGCGGAAGGGCATGATGTCATGATCTACATCTAAGAAATACTATTTTATCTGCTATAAGGAGAATTTATATGGGGGAGGGGGGGTAAAAGTGAAAGCAGTCCTCATCAGGAAACCCAAACATTCATATCCTTGGAATTTCTCGCTCCTGGGATTGGGGTTGCGCCATTGTCCAATGAGTGCATAGTGAGGGCAGTACTGCTAACACCTAAACAGCACACTCACATCAACTAAAGCTCTGCTTTACGTTGGTGCAATTTTTGGAAAAAATGAAAACCCTTTAAAAAAAAAAAAAAGGAGTGATCTGAAATGGTAAGGGACATCAGTGTTTCAGTTAGCCCAGCATTTAGTCTGCTTGTTCTGGTGATAGCTGCCCAATTTCTTATTTTTCTTTTGAGAAATCACATCCTATCCTTCCCTCACCCATCTGTAGTCCTTAGGGTGAGCTGACCCTACAGATGGGGACACACCTCGCCTGGCAGAATTGTTCATTAACTCACTTGATAAATAGTATCAATGTTATAGGGTGGGCTAGAGCTGCAAACAGTGTCACCCCTTGTGGTTCCTGTGAAGGTGACAAGTTATACTACATGAATATATAACACAACAAGAGAGAGCAATAGGTCTGTGAAGTCAGGGAAAATAAAGAGACAGTGGGGGTGGTCAGCGGGGACTGAAGGAAGTGAGGGAGCACCACGCTGTGGGGACAGTAAGGGGGACAGTGTGGAGGCAGAGGGGACGAGAACAGTGGTCCTCAGTGACAGGCAGGCTGGGTGGGCTCAGGAAACAGCAAAGGGCTAGATGAACAGAGCAGGAGAGGTGGGAGAGGGAGCAGGGCTCTCCTGTTGGCCATCTAGAACATTCTCTTACCCTGGCTCCAGTGACAGGCTCAGGCTTAGGTGCTGGACCTCAGTCATATGAACGAGCCATCGTTGGACTTCTGGAATGACTGGGAAAGATCTACTGTCTTTCTGAAAGAGAATATAAAGGAACAGGCCTAAGAGCGAAGCCAGCACAGAAGGAAGTGGCCCAGAAGACAGAAAGCTTCTGAAAACATCATTTAGCTGCTGCGTCCAGCTGTGCCCAAAGCTAATGCACGCTTAGCTGTCCGCCACATAAACGAATACATTTCTTTTTTCTTAAGCCAAGGCAAACTGATTTCCTTTGACTTGCAACCTAAAGTCTTTACCTAATATAGCAATATAGAACATTTTTTATGTGTAAAGATGTGAATTGCTGAATATTTATGATAGCAAAATACTGGGAGCAACTTCAGTGTCCCAAAATGGTTATAAAGCATACATCCTATAATAGAATCGTATGCATTCATTAAGACTGATGTTAGAGAACTCAGAGTAACATGAGAAAATGATTGTTTTAATTTTTCTTTAAAGAAATTCTGTATGCAGCATGATCTCAATTATGTAAACATTCTCATAAAGTAAATACAACAAAATGCAAATTCACATAAGTAAATACAAATGGTGGAATTTTTACACTCTATATTTTTACTTTTTTCAGTTTTTAATTTTTCTCTAGGGTGCATTTCTTTTTAATAATTAGAAAATAATTTTTTAAATTTTAAAGATAACATGGAGGGAAAATTGGAAACAACTGACCTATGATCCATGCAAAAGTGCTTCATATCTTAATGTGCAAGAACACATAGCCATCATTCTCCCCTATGCAGAAGGACATGTGCTTTACACCATATGTGCCATCTAGTTTTTTCACTATTGTAAGCATACATGACTTCTCTCTAGTGACAAAGCAAAAAGCGCTTCATTTTGGAAGTGCTGAAATTCTGAGCCCACTAGTGCACCCTGGTAAATTATCATGTTATCTATTATGCCAGATGACCAAGAGCTAAGGACATACCAAGGGTCAGGCCTCATACAGAAAACATGAGCAAACTGATGACTATGAAAATAGGAACTGTTACTTTTTATAATCTAATATTTTCTGCAAAAGCTTTTGAAATAGTTCACTGTTTTGAAGATCACGTTACTAAAAGGACACATTTATAGCTGTGGGCGGATGTGGAATCAGGAAGATTTACACTGGACAGCACCACCAAGCCCTAATTATTATAATTTAGTCTTGAATCACTTTAATCAACAATTTAAAATATTTTGGTATTCTTAGCCATAATCTATTTTGTTCTCTTACAAGTGCTCTTTAGCAGTTTTCTGGGTCATCAAATAAGAGTTCAGTAAAATTTACTTTTTGGTCAATTCATTGGAATAACATTTTTGGAATTATCAATTACTTTATTTCTGATTAAGTTTTAGGTTTTCAGCAGGAGTCACCAACCTCATTTCTCAGTCCAGCCGTTTTGAGTTACATAAAGGCAAAAACATGGCAAGGATTTTATAGCAGGAAAATGATTTGTTTTTGTTTTTCAACATTCCTATAATCCAGACAGCTGAAGAAATCTTTGATCTAGAAAGCTTGGAAATTCAAAGCCCCCTCAAGGCACTTTTTAAAATTTTTTCAAATTAAAGAAGAATAAAAACAGTATTTGTAATGGAAAATGTTGGTGCTGTTAAGTACATAACAGCTTTTACTTAAGTCTGTAATTCATCTTGTGGATTTAAGATTTTGGCTAAGAGTAAGTTTTAGGTGTGATATAACATATGATCCTCTAAGGTTTGCTAGTGTTAGTGACATTCTAGAGTGGTGGAAAAACAACTGGCATTAATGCAGAATTGGAGTGACTAGTCCCAGGAATCAAGTCAGAAAAAAAGACCAACTGACACATAGTGAGAGCTAAAACAAAATGCATTTAAAATCCCACCCTAGGCCAGGCACTGTGGTTCACGTCTGTAATCCCAGCATTTTGGGAGGCCGAGGTAGGTGGATCACAAGGTCAGGAGGTCGAGACCAGCCTGTCCAATATGGTGAAACCCTGTCTCTCTAAAAATACAAAAATAAGCTGGGCATGGTGGTGGGTGCCTGTAATCCCAGCTACTTGGAAATCTGAGGCAGGAGAATCACTTGAACCCGAGAGGCAGAGATTGCAGTGAGCCAAGATCGAACCACTGCACTCCAGCCTGGGCAACAGAGTGAGACTCTCCATCTGCGAAAAAAAAAATAAAATAAAATAAAAACCCACCCTACTTAGATTAGGATGCAGGGAACTCTCAGATTTGGAGGATTTAGAGGACCCAACTTACCAAAACCCTACTGTTAGCCACTTTTAAGGTTTTTTTTAGCAGTCAGGTAAGTTTCCACTCCTGTTAATTTTTCAGAGCACGTGAAGGACTTGCTTTCTCGAGCACAGTGGGCCTTTAAAGTGCTGTTAAAACTATAGTCACTGTCTGTCCGAGGTGGTAACGTTATGCTCTGTTATAGATATCCTGGATCAATTTCCAGGATCCAGATATCTCTATTTGCTTCAAATCCTGAGCTTGTCCAGTGCACCCACCATAAGCAACTGCAGTAATGTTTTAAAAATAACTCAAAGTGTGATCCATCATATACATTACCCTAAATTGCACAGTTTGCCCACCACACTAGCCCCAGCCCCTCATTATGCTCCAAGCTCAATGGCTTTCCTTCAGGACCTTGACTGAAGCGCTCTTACGATTTGGGGCTTCGTAACTTGCTGATGTCTCTGCAATACCCTTCCCTTGCCCCTTTGCTTTTCCTGGCTAATTACTCCAATATTCTTTAGGTCTCAACTTCCACGTCACTTCTGCAGAGAAGGGCCCTGGCCTGCCCAAATCTAGGTATAAGTAAACCTTCTTACTTTCCTTCATCACGCTTAACACATAGTTTATAATTGTTCAAGTATAATTACAATTGTTCAAGTATTTATCCAGCCAATATCATGTTATTCTGTAAATTTTATAAGGGCAAAAATTCTACTTTACTAAGGTCGAATTTGGAAAGACACTAAGGTTTTAGAAAAATACCATGTTGCCTGCTGTGATGAAGAAAAGTTACTATAACTAGGTATAAAAATTCATGTAAAAGGTGATAATTTCTAACTGCATATGGTATCTTTTATTTCTTATTACATTTAAAATACCTTACTCATTTTGTCCAATCATCCTGATATTTGCTTGAGTTGCTGAGCATTGGAATGCTGCCTTAAAGGTTAGCTCATGCCTGAAACCCCCACTACAAGGTCACCAGCGTCTTGCAGTATCTAAGCTGGCATTCTGTTTGATTTTGTGCCTGCTCCTTCTAGAAGTATTAAAGTGGTGTTTTTTCTTTTTTAATTAAAAGAAAATTGAACATTTTAAAATGTGCAACATAAAAATAATTTGAGGTGCCCTAGGACTGTGGTTCTCAACCCTTAGGGTGAATCAGAATCACCTGGAGAGCTAGTCAAATTTCCAGACTGCCTGATTCTGCAAGTCTGCGATAGGCCCTGAAAAACTGTACAAAGTTCTTAGGTGATGCTGATGCTACTGGTTCAGAATCCACATGTTGAAAACCACTGCCCTGGGGTGTCATAAAATTATGGTTTGCGATCACCGAATTAGCTTAGGTATTTGTAAAAAGAACAGACATTTAAGAGATCATCCAAATACACAGTTACACAATCCATTAACCACTCTGTGTCAAACTGGTGAGCAAACTATAGAAAGTCACTGTTTTCAGAACAAGGAGAATGTAACAAATACCAGTTGGAATCTGGGAAGATGTTAGCCAATCCTGATTTCAAGGTCATTTACTCAAAGCACAGTTCTGAAACCCCTGCTACGGAATATGCAGCCAGCACTGACCTGGGGGCCAGAAGATAGGCTGCCATCCATCCATCCATTCAACAGTGGTTCTTAACATCGACTTTGGGCCTCGCACTGGAGAAAGTGTCCACAAGTCAGATGCTGCCCCTGCTCTGATGGAGTTCACATACTTTGAAGGAGAAAGGCAGTAACAAGTACACAAACAGGATAACTTCAGATGGTGATAGCAGCTCTGAAGGAAGCAACAACAAAACAATGGTATGGAGTGGGGCCTAGGGTGCTACTTCAAATGGGGTGGCCAAAGAATAACTCTTTGAAAAGGGGACATTTAAGCTGATACCTAAAGGGTAAGCATGAACCAGCCTTTGAAGAGGGATGAAAAGGCTTTCAGAGACTGGCAGGTCCAGAGGTCTTGTGGATAGATCAAGGTTGACATGTTCTGGAAACAGAAAGGCCACTGTGGCCAGTGAGCACCTGCAGGAAGAATGTAGAAAGACCTTGGAGAGGGCAGCAGAAATTTAATTGTTACGCTTAGTGGAAATGGAATCTACTGGAGAACTTTGAGTAAGAG